CACAGGAAAAGGCAGGCAGGTGCTGTGTCAATCTGCCTCTGTGGGGGTGAGTTGTGGGCAGGTGCAGTGTGCCACTTCTCCAGGACATCTATATAGCTCCAGCTGCTGTGAACACTTAGCCAGCAACAAGGGGTCATCCATTTGCTAGGTTTCTTGGGTGGTTTCTCCCCAGAGAAACCCTTGAGCTACAGCAAACTACAAATCCCCAGCAGGTATCATCTCCTTACTGCTGGTTTGCAGAATAACAAAAAACTGCCAGCACAGACAGGTGGAAATGTGGTCATGCTGCCAACCCCACCTCTACCCCTATAATCTGGACGTGACACTCCCCACTCCCTCAGAGTCGCTAAGCCACATGCTTCAGTCCCCTCAGTGCTGGCAGTAGGGTCAGCATTCAAGAACACTGTGGCCAGGACAGCCCAGCCAGAGACTCTCCCCCAGCTCCTGTGGTGCCCAAGCCTGCCCTGTAGATGTCCCCAGGATCACCACTGTCACCTTCAAGGTGGCCTCTGCTCTCCTCACTCGTGGCCATGCAGGCAGACTGAGGACAGAGTTCTTTCTTCCTCACTGGGGCCAAAGGGCAGGCCCTCGGCTCCTCCTCCTCACAGGGTATTTCCTGCACCCAGAGGATCCTGCCTCTCCTTATTTGTTTTAGAAAACCTATCTCAGCCTACTGGCAGCAAGAAACAGGCCACCCAAGCCTGATTTTCAAAAACCAGGCCAAAGTGTGGAGACTCAGAACCAAGGAGGACAACTGAAGATGCTGGGGGAACACCCTGCACCCAAAAGCCTATGTACCAGAGCCCTGGAGCTATATATCTCAGGCTGTAAGGCATTAGGTGTCTTGCTTAGACAGCCCTGCCAACCCTTCAGAGCACGGGCTCTGCCATCCAGAGCTGGGGACCCATCCTCTAGGGGCCTGTTCTCCTGCAAACAGCCAGGAGCTTTGGGCAGTGTGAAAGGGCAGAAGGGGAAGCAAGGGAGACAAGCAAGGTGGGGACCCCCAGCCACACACAAGCCTTGGGGGTGCTTAAGGGGAGCTGTCCACCCTAGCACAAAGAGGATTACAATAATGAGTGTGAGAAAAACAGGAACTAGAATAAATTCTGAGGAGGGAAAAGAGCATTCTTAGTGTATCCTTTCTAAAACCAAAGTACAAAAACATTATTAACAACAACTTCTGCTGACTGCATTGGCTGGTGCCAGGTAGGGCAGCTCTCTCCTCATCCTGAATCTTCATAGCTACCCCCTACAGAGGCATCACCTCCACTTCACAGAGGACAAACATAAGGGTCAGAGAGTTGCATCCCGAGTCATACAACAGGATCAAACCAGGCTCTCAGAGACTGGAGTTTCTTTACACCAAGGAAATGACCATCATGCCTACACCAGCCTGAAATATTCTTTCTTTTTTTAATTTAAATTTAAATTTATTTATTTATTCTAATTTGTACAGCCTGGAATTTTCTATGAGTGAAGGGAGAAGCTGCTCAAGTATGGTCTGATCAGAGTCAGTGTGCACCTGAAGACTGGGTCAGGCACACTGGGATATGCTCTCCTTGGAAAGGCCCAACTTATGAAATGGCAAGACCTCCTGGGCACCAATTGTGGCTTGCTCAGGGTTGAGGGGTTTTCACATGAGGCACCTTTCAGAGGCGACCACAAACTCAGAGAAGACAAGTACCCATTGAAGAGGGGTAGGGCAGCCTTAGCACCTAATTTATGGTCAAGGGCAAAGGACACTCTCAGAGCCACATCCTCAACTTGAGTGCAAAGTGAGACATGCATGCCTCAGACACCCACTCATGGCCTCTAAAGCCAACGCAACTCTGCCTAGTGCACGAGATGCTTGTGGAGATTATGCCAGTTAGTTTCTCACTTCTGATTTAGTTACATGGAACATAATCTGCCATTTCTACTCTAAGCAATCCCCACTTCTCTTGCCAAGCAGCTGATTCAAAGATGGTTCTCCCGCCCACATCCCATTCCTTGGCCGCCTGTAAAATTCCTTTCATATCTTTTCAACCCTAAAACTTGCCAGCACCAAGTGCAACCAGGGTGGACATAAGAAGTTCTGTGATTGCCCCCAAAGACCCATCTGATGCCACCATATCTACAAGCCCAAAGTGAAAAAGTGGCTCTCTTGTAAGGAGAGATGCTCCTTTGCAACCAGCAGTTTTCTCCAGGTCTGGCTCAGCTGCAGAGACAGAACCCTCCTTGATCCTCATCCATCCAGGTGGCTTCCAACCAAATAGTATTTGCTATTTCCCTTTACTTCCTAAAGTATATCCACAATAAAGCAGGCCTGGTTCAGACACAACAACAAACTCTACTGTGTTTCCAACAATACCTCTGGAATACAACAATACTACAGATCACCACTGAGACGTGGCCAAAATGAATCAAATACTAAGCTTTTACACAGCATTTCTGATGGGCAGCTCAGAAAGGAGCACCAAGTCTGGTCTGCCTTAAGGACAACATGGGAAAGAAAAGTGACACAGGAGAGCTGATGAGCAGATGCTGAAATGCACAACACAGCCACAGTCCCACTGGAGGAAGTCCCAGGAGGAAGTGAGAATTCATCAGGCTGTCTAGAAACAGAACCTCATAGCAGCAGTGGGCCCCAAGACAGCCCCTGAGACAAGAGGGTTAGGGCCCGGGGCACAAGGCATGAAAGGCAGTGGGTCCTAAGCTATGCCTGGAGTATTGGGGGTGAGGGGCAGTCAAGCCTAGAGGCTTAGATATGGGGCTGCGAAGCAGTCAGCCAGCCCCTGAACATGCCTGTGTTCCCCACCCTCCCCAACAACTTGCCCATGTCTTTAGAAAGCATCCTCCAGAAGACGTGCAATAACCATTCCCATAGCACCTCACTGACAGCTGCCACCACACTCTCCTGTGAACTTGAAACCCAGCAGGTCCCCAAAAGATTTCTTGGGAGCCTCTTTCTCTAAAATCTCCTCACCCAACTCTCATCCCAGTGTCATATTCTGCAAGCCCAGTGCTCAATAAACACTAGTAAAGTGCCAGGCAGGGATCTTACACCAGGTCCTTACTGAAGTTCAATTCTAGAGGTATCTGTCAGGTATCCTTTCCTTAATCTTGATGAACTATGGAGTCAGGACTTGGAGATACCTACACATGAATCAACATCCTGTTTATCTTCAACCATGTAATTAGTGGCCTCCCACTGCTAGCACCCCTTTCCCCTCCACCCCTTAAGTCCTTAAGACTCCTCACTCAGGATTTAATTATCATGGTGGAATCTCCTGGGACATTCTTTCATCAGAACCTGGGGGATGAGGGAAAGAGAAGATAGAGCATTTTATACACTTTCTTATTTGAAGTAGAACACTCTAGTAATATGACTAATGTGAATTAACATTATTCTTTCTAGCAACTTATCTGTGACTAAAACTAAACCTTATTTACTATCAACTATATTATGAGACAGGGATTGTATCTGCCATATTACAGTTATGCTTAGAATCTTGGCTTTGTAATTTAGAAATCAAGCCTAATTAAGTGATGATTAAAAAGAAAAACAATTACGATAGACTTAATAGAATCCTTATTACAGTATGGCATAATTTTTAAAATGGTCTTAAGTAAAATCAAGGGTTGAATCAATTTAACTGCACTAAATTCAATCAGTTCTGAGTCTACTGTTCGGGTGCTGAAAAAGCAGTCACTGGAAAGAACCCAGTAGAAAAGAATATTAAAAACAGATTTAATATATAAAGCAGGGATTCTTGGGTAGAAAAGCAAGTGAATAGTCACTATGACCCACTGTTTAAAAAGAAAAAACAACAGTAAAACATACACCCACACCATAAATGGAAAATGACAGCTGACAAAGACCTATTTCCATACTGGAGATGACAGTCATTTTCTTCCAGGTCAATCTAAGAGTAGAGAGCTTGGTCAAATGAGCAGCAGGAACGGCTGGCTGGGGGTAGGGAGGGCACACTGGCATGGATGGAAAACCCTGATTTCTGCTTAGGATGGATGTTTTTGCTATAACTCAGAAATTTTCATTTTCTGGTCATAAGGTCAGGCCATGCTGACACTGGTCTCTGTCAGAGTTCTCAAAGTAAAGAACCTTTCTGGATTCTAGAGAATATATAATCCTTCCAGAGATTCTCCAGCAAGGCAATGTCAGGCTGGTAAAATATACAGCCAAGCGCAATCATGTCAACTGGAAGACCCAGCAAAGTTAGCATAAGGTTTAGGAGTTGCCTAGAAAAAAATCAAGACAACTCTTCTTCAATCAGACTTTTTTTTTTTTCTTTCTCTCCTGTCCGGTGATGCACTCCCTCATCTAACTCTTGTAAAGGTAATAATCAAAATAGCTCCGATTACCACCCGCAAAGTATAAATGTTTACTTTGATCAAAGACAAACTGTAAAACTAACCTGGAAATTCCTATCCTTTTGCAAAGATGGTGGGGAAACTAAGTTTAATAGAAAAGCAGATCAGAAGAGAAATAGGAAATCAGAATACAAAAGCCTCTCCTTGAACCCCTAAGCCACCCACTAATGTGAGCAACACTCCCTGTGAAAAGTCTTACTATGGGTGGCACCTTCTAAGAGCTGCGGAGCCGGTGCGTGTCGCGGATGAAAAGGATGGAGCGTCAACTCTGTAAATGCAAGTCACCGGGGAAAGAAGGCCACCGTGTCAACCTCCATGCCTACGTTAATTCAAACGTCTGAAAACACGAGATGAACTCAAAGAGTTCTCCATTTCCAGAGCCAGCAAGTACGCTGGGGCGGAGAAGTGTTCACACACCCAGGGCAAGAGTCTACAGAGAAAAAGTAGGTCTGCAGCCAAGTCAGGGGTCTGGGGAACCTCCTCCTCCACCACCGAAGGCGGGAGCTCGAGGGCGAGGGGCGCCCGCGGCGCAGCGACGGGGGTCCCTGAGGCAGCGGTCGCCGGGGCGCCGTGCTGTCTTCTGACCCAGGCGCGGGGCCGGGCCCCCGGCTGGCCTGCGCGGCCCTCACCTTGTCAGAGTCCAGGTCGGGGTCGGCCTGGCACAAGCGGTACAGGAAGGACTTCGGGTCCCGGCACAGCGTCTGCCGGGTGGTGAGGAAGTAGGTGCCGCCGACGTTGAGTCGGACCCACTTGGACACGCCGCCGGGGCGCTGAGCCAGGGCACCGAGCCCTGCGCTGCAGCGGCGGCATAGGCCGCCCCCCCGTCCCGCCCCGAGGCCGCCTGGGGCCGGCGGCAGCAGCTCGAAGACATTCTCCGCCATGATCTCAGCAAGCCCCGCCACAGCGCCCCTCCGCCGGAAGTGTCCGGCCTTTAATAGTGTTCTCCGCGCTCTGTCCCGCCCACAGGTCCGCCCTAGTAAGGCGCCCGCCCAGGAGTCATGCGGGAGGCGGAAGTTCCGGTCCGAAAAGGCTGCCGGCCGTGCTCCCTTCCGGCCGGTGCAGGCCCTGGTTTCACGCGGGGATCCCGGGTCCCGCCCCGATCAAAGGAAGAGTCAGGCTCGCAAAAGGGTGCACTCTACATGCTTTTATTTCAAGACTACGGAGCATACGAGGGAAATTCATCATCCGAACTATATCTAAAGCACAGATATTTGAAAAAAGAATAAACAGATTCATTAAATTATGATATGATTAAACCATGACCAAATAGAAAATTTATATAATAAAGCCAGAAAAAAAGTTGTAAAATATAATAGTTTACAATAATTATTCACATTCAAGGCTGTACATCAATACATACAACAACGTGGCCCCGAACATGAATTCAATCCAAATAATTCATATATTAGAATTTAAATAACACAGAATGAACTAGAGGCCGACAATAGCCAGCAAATAACCTTATATAAGAATAAAAATACAAAAGTGTATATCCTAGTATCATTGCATTATTTGTTTCCATAAGGTTTTTTTTTTTTTTTAATTTTTGCTTTGCCTGTACATCACAGTTACTGTTACAGACCAGGTAGAGGACATTACACACGGTGCAACTGACTGCCACCAACCTGAAGGACAGCAACATACTATCCATTCAACTTATGGTATGTGGTTGGAACTACTGCTGCAGCTCCAAACACTGCAGCAGTTAAATTTGTCAACATCCAATCAAACTATGGTCAAAAGAGAGGCTTTCAGCCAGATGTTAGACTATAGTGGGCTACAAGGGTTTAAAAAAAAAATTTTTTTTTTTTTTTTTGCCTTTTGTAAAAAGTTCTCTATACAGTTTGGTGTTTCTTCACATTGAAGAAAAGAATTACAGGGAAAAATCAGGTATTCACACTGGCTCATTCATTTACCTGCCATGGCCATCTCTGCAACAAATAAAAATGCTCTTTGCTGGAAAACAGTTTCCTTCCCAGAACGGTTCTCCACAGGCAGCCTAATTTACAACCTTGCAGTTTTGGGCTAGAAGCCAATGCCTCTCAGAGGCTCTGAAAATGGCTACAGCCCTGATTCAGGGGTTCTTGCCATACACTCTGCCCAAGAAGAAAGAGTCACACCCACTTGAGTCACCATCAGTTCATGCTGGGTTTTCAGTGAAACAAAATGGAAAAAAGCAAAAAAACATCTGTCAGGACACAGTACCTTCACCATATTCTCACAGAAGTGGTGGCCTCTCAAGTCACAGCAGTGAGCACCCTGGGTCTGTAATTCAGCCAGAGGAGGAACTGTGGTGCACCAGAGGTGGGCAGGAGACCCAATTCTGTACAATTCAGCCCTGAGCTCTGGTAGTCAAGTGGCACTGAGCATTGTGGTCAGAAAACCCTCTTGTACATGTTTCTCCTCGAATCAATGGAACTCAGTAAATATGGAGAAATAAAAACACAAACAAATTTGAATGGTCTGGACTTGAAGACCACTGGGCAACCTGCAGCACTGTGGGCAGGGAGAACACCTCACATTCATGCCACCTCAGATCCACATTCCACAACGAAAGGCCTAGACATTGTGTTGTCCTGAACTGCTAAGAACTTCTGTTGAGGGGTGGAGGGACACAAAAATGCACTCTTGTAAAACACAATCATCTATACGGTTTCTTTTACAAATAGAGCCTTGCTCTGCTAGTGATCCCAAATGGTGTAATCTATAAACTTAAGTACAAATCACCCACTAAGCACGTGGCAAGGTCAGTTCAACTTTTTTTTTTTTTTTAATCTCTGCTGACTATGCAGAAGCAGATTCAGTACCATTGTGGAAACAAAGTAAAAGATTTCTTAAAACATCACCAAGCACTTGGAAGCCATAGCAGCAGGAATGGAAGAGAACTAACATGCAAGCATGACCAGATTATTGCAATGAAAATAAGGAAATTAGCTCCTGGAAAAATCTGTCTCAAATGGATAAGCAGGAATGACATCATTTTAGCATTAACAAAAGAAAAGAGAGCAGTCATATTCATCATTCTTTGGAACACACAGCTTAGCAAAAACTGATTTGCTCAGAATCTGTAGAACACCAGGAAGGAGGATGTTACTGAAACTCTGAGCATCTGAGCAACAAGACCTCTTGGGAGGAATATCGGAGTGAAATGACCAAACTCTTTAACCCTAAAATACCATTTGCTGGTATCTAAGGGGAAAAGATCAGAGTCAAATATAAAAAGATTTATAAGGACATTCATCACAGCATTATTTAAACAGTGAAAAACCAGAAACCACCTAAGTCTTTTACAATAGGGAAATAGATAAATCTATCATAAAAATTTATGACCATTAGACTCTACAATCATTAAAACATGCTTTTGAAGAACTGCTCATGACATGGAAAAGTACTTCAGATAAAATATCAAATGAAAAAGATGGATACAAAATAATGTACACTGTATGTTCCCAATTTAGTTTGAAAAGCAAATCAATGGAAGAGGGGACAGAATCTAGATCAAAATGCTCACAGTGGACTCTGGGTGGAGAGCCTAGTTGATTTTTTTCAGAAAGAAACTACTACTTTTAAGAAAGCACAGAATCACCTGGAGCTCTCTGGCTGGTGTGTGTGGATGTATGCCACGGGGCTGAGTCCTTCCAGCATGAACCACAAATACCAGAGCAGACTGAGAGCACTGGAGCAAGTGAAGTCCCTATTTGTTTTGGACTGACAACATAAGCCAACTTTCTTAAAGCAAATTTCTAACAAGCCTCTAGGAAGTTAAGGTTGAGAATGGTAGACACACCACAGTGCCACTCCCTAGGGTAGAGAGGCTTAAGCTCTACACAGGGATGCCTGCTGCCCTGGCTGGCACCAGAGGAAAAAGGGTGCAAACAACCTATCTATACCTAGCTCCTTCTGCATCCCCAGGGAAGGCAGAGGGCACAGTGGGCTATCTGAGCCATGGCCATCAGTCTGCTACCATCTGGGCTGGGAGAAGCCATAGAAAGGCATTTACATTTGTCCTTACTGGTCCTTAGTGGGACCCATGGCTCCTGGATCTATTAAACAGGAGGGCACTACTTTCTCACCTGGGCTAGTCCCAACTTGTGTCTCCACAAATGCATGTCTACATGTACCCTGAAACCCACAGTACCTGCATGCTAGGTGACAGCTTGAGGGTGACTGGAAAAGCTAGGCTAACATAAGTCAGGGCTAAAGAAGAATGTGCTCGGCCCTTAAACAAAAAAGCAGCAAGGAAAAAAAAGGGACAGCAAGTGAGGACCAAGGGGAACAGGGAACGGTATGGCATTTGTCTTGGCCCTCAGCCATGTGGTGGAGGAGGTTGGGATGGTGTTTATTGGTGAAGCCCAGGAGGTAGTGGTGCTCTCCAGAGGGCGCAGATAAAAGAAGACTTCTAGTCTACTTCTTTATTCTAATTGGCCAGGTTCTCTTATTCAGCCGAGTCTTAGCCCTACTTGTTCCGCTGTACCAGATTGCCCCAAGAGACTCCCTTCTCTGCATGTGTGTGCACAGGCAGGAGAGTCAGGGAGCTACCCCTGCAGACACAGGACATTGTGAAGAGGTCAAAATAGCAACAAGGGGAGTGAGTCTGTACAGGATTTCAAGAAAAAAAACAGCCAAGTGAGACTCACCTAACACAAGCAAGCCTTCTAAAGGCTGAGAGGAGACCTGGTCTGTTCCCTGCTCTCTGAGGATCCCCAAGGATAGGTGAGAATCTGACACATGCTCGCTCACACACAGCTCTCACAGAAATGACTGTCAAAGCCTGGGGAATACCTCTGTGTTCCAGTCTAGCACTAGTGCAGCCCCACATCTGCACTTCCTCTCAGTTTAAAAAGAACCACTCTTATCATTAAAACAGTTTGGGAAAGAAAACTTTCTTCTCAGTTTGGACTGGCCTGGCATACCAGGTGATAGGTGTAAGGAGTATATTTTCTGTGGGCCTTTTGCTGGTGCCTTTATGAAGGTCTACAGAAATGGCAAAGTTGTTCCTACCTTGGGGACATGGGAGTCAGATGGTGTCTGTGAGCAGACTGCAAAGGCAGATGCCTGCTCTTCTTCCCCAGGGACTGAAAGCCACCCTTCAGGGACAATCAAGGCAAGGACAGGCACATTTGAGACCTTTTGGAGCACTCTGCCTGGAAGCAGCAAAGCAAAGCAAGGGACTGGTACATTCTGGTCTCTAACACAAAGCAAAGCACTGCTATGGAAGCGAAAAAGGAAAGTCGCCCTAAAACTGGCAGAAGACACCAGATCAAACAGACTCAGGCTTCAGTGGGCTATTCTAATGTCCCAGGCAACAGTAAATAACACTTTTTTCTAAACAAACTCCACCCTCATTGGCCAAGTGACCAGGCAGTGCGGGAAGAAGGCTTTTAGATTTCCAACACAGAAATGTAAAAACTGAGCTCCCTTTGAGAAGTGTTGAGCCACAACATGAACAAGGGCACGTAAGGCTGGGCAGGAGACTGAAGCACCCTGGAACTGCTGACACTAGGATTCTCTCAAGCCTGACCTTACTAGTAGCCTGTACATTTAAAACTTTCCAGAGATTCTCAGGAAGGCCTGAGGATTCTGTGGTACCTCCTGACCTTGCCAAGTACAGGACAGGTTTCTGTGTATCTGGCAAAAACTCAGCTGGGTGCTAACCTGGTTTCTATCTGACAATGCCCCTCCCAAGCATGTGCTTGGCTTGGCATCCAGCCCCACTGAAGGACACTGCTAGGAGGTGGGACTTGGGAGCTGAGACCCAGGAGGGCTCCTTGTAACTGCAGCAGCCTGCTCTGAATGTCATCTCCACAGTCTTGCCTACTCTTCACCTCTCAATCTGCCTGCCAGACAGTAGGAACCACAGAAATCCTGTCACCAGAGCCACAACAGGAGACACAAAGGGCCAGGCCACACCTCCAGGGCC